TCATTCTACCGGAGACAGGAAGGCGGAGCTTACAGCCTGTTACTTGTGTGGGGGCTGAAAGTCTGAAGTCTGAACACCTAATGGCCACACCTGCTGTGTGTGTAATGGAAGGAAGGAACTAAACCAGTTTTTGATGGTGGCACGTGGTGTGAGGACACTGTGACAAACGTCTCTCCTTCGGTCAGTGACAGCATTTACTTGAACGTTTCAAAGCCTGGCTGTGCTGCTGGCTCTGTTCTGAGATGCTGGGTTGGACACCCGGAACCGGCTCGCACGACCGTGACCACCATTAGGAAATACAGGGGTCAAGTGTGCAAGCTTCTGAAAGCGCGTCTCCGTTACGGACAGGCCGAGGGGCCAGGGGACCCTGTAGGGACGCCTGTACATCTGAGCTCCTGTCCCGAACACATCTTCCTCCTCATGAAGTCTGTGCTGCTCCTCAGGCACAAGACAGAGTCATGGCCCCGGGCCTCTCCTCCGGCCGGCTGCCCCTGTGTCCTGTGCTCGTTTCCCTTGTGGCTCTCTGTGTGGCCATGAGCACCGCGTTACTGGCTCCCTCCCGGGCAGAGATGAGGCTGCCGTGTATCACAGTGTCCAGTGCCCCGCGGGAGGCGCTCAGCGACCTCAGTGTGAGCCACTCCGGGTCCGAATAAGGAGCTAAAAGGACAGGACGACCAGGCACGTGTTGGCGACCACCCCAGAATGGGCTCCACTTGAGTCACGCGGGTCCCCGGAACTCCCCCCAACTGCACCACTGCCCCCACACTCTCTCTGCTCACACTCCGAGTTTATTCAGAGTTTGTTCCTGTGCGTGGTCCAGTGACAGAAATGACAGTGCAGCACGGGGACCAGGGTCTGTAGTGTCATACTGCCGTGTGCTGACAGATGGTGACCGTGCCTCTCGAAGGAGCAGGGCACTGTGCGTACAGTGGTCGAGTCCATATGTGGTACGCGTGAACGGATACAACACGCTCTGTCAGCTGTACGCGAATCAACTGTGGCCAATGCCACCCGATGTCGGAAAGAGAATGGCAGGAGGCAGGGTGGTGGGGATGCTGTTCTGGACCACGTGTGTCAAGAGCCAGCAAAAAAGGTGCTCATCCTTCGGACCAGCAGTTCATCTCCAGGACTTTGTCTGAAGGAACTCCGTGGTCAAGTGTGCACAGTTTGTGCAACAAGGACGGTCGTAGAAGCTGTCTGTGATAGTGAAAATTTAGAGTCAATCTCCATGTGCGAAATCTAGGACAATGGTTGAATTATAATTAAGTTATAATTTGCCAAAACGTGGCATATTATGTAGCCGTTAAAAGATCGTGTAGATGTAAATATATCTTAATATATTTCCTCATCATGTTCTCTTAACTTCTGAATGATATGATACACGTAATATACAAATGTGTGATTATCAAATGCATGTGGCAAGATCCCATTAAGGTGTGTGTGTACACAGCATATGTGGGTTGTTCGCACGCCTGGAGAAATCCCAGATTGTGCACCAAAACGTCAAGAGATTCATGTTGTAACAGTGGAAGGTATGCTCTGTAGAATATTGTTTTTTCTGCTTAGTTATACTTTTACATCATTGTAAAACACAGAGGTTAGTTAATCACGGTCCTTCCTTTTTCCTGGCTGGATCTTGGGCTGTCCTGCTGCTCTGGCCAAGTGCTTGGTGTCCTGAGATCAGTGCTGACAGCAGTGGCTGGGCTTTGTGACCTGTTGGGTTTCGTGTCTCCAGTGGATGTGGTTGGGGAAGGGCCAGGGCCAGTGAGGGTCTCATCACAGTATGCCATGTTCACAGCCCCCTTGTCTCCTGCAGGTGGAGACTCCAAGGTCCCTCCTCGAAGGCGGCTCTACACGGCGAGTTTGCCTCCTGAGGGGTACGTCCCAGCCCCCCCAGAGCCGCAGGCCAGCCCGGCCTCCGAGGACAGCTCGGGCAGCGATGACGCGGGAAAAGGATGCCCCCTCTCAGGTGAGGCGTGATTCTGCAGCTTAACTTCACCCAAATTTACCGCGACAGGGCCGGGGGAGCAGGTCACTGGACGGCTACCCAGTGGGCTCGTTTGTGTCCTGCAATCATTAAAAGTGACGTCACAAAATTCATAGCGGCAGGAAAACAGACTTGAGGCAGGAGGAGATTTAGCTGGGACCCGACCGTGGCCGTCATCACTCGTGCTGCTATTAAATGCGTCACATGTTAATGGTAGTTGTTGTGGTTTAAGTAGAACTTTTTTCTTGATTTTCCATTTTATTCAGCATTTCTGAGATTGTATATCAGTTTTGTAATGATGGAAATAACTTGCTTTGCCTCACTTTTGTGAAAGAATTGAATGTCTGTCTTGCTTTTGTGGTCGAAGGCCGCGTGAACAAAAGACATACCTGCTTTGGTGGATGTGCCGATGTTACGTTAAATCCGTAAATAAGAGGTTTCACCCAGACGAGTTTCAACAAGTATAAACTCAGAAACTCTATCCTACAAATGTCAAGAGAATGTGGTTTCCTTGTACATTGATCTTTCCAAGTCTCTAATTAAAGGACCAGAAACCATAGAACCAAAAATGGGGTAGGTGAGGAATAATCTATTCATCTTTTCAAACCCTGTTGAAAATCTTTGGAATGTGATTAGTAGATAAAGGGATTATTTCATTAGGAAATTTAACTGTGTTCTTACGAGGATGAATTACTTTGGGGAGCACACTTCACCGTGTGCTCAGTCTATTCAGTAAAAAGCATGTGTCCCGTGCTGCTGTGCTCAGTCAGTTCTGGTTCACCCACAGCTGCACACAGTCGGCCCTGCCGAGGAGGCCAGCACGGGCTGGGCCACGTGAGGGACCCCAGTGCCAGAGGCTTGAGTCTGTCCTGTGACCGATAGGCTCCGAGCTGTAGGGATGCCCTCCTAGGAAGTCGAGGTGTTTGTACGAGGTGGACGGATGCCCTGCCGGAAGCCAGCCAGCTGGCCCTGTGGTGCCACCCTGACAGCTGTGCACTGACGAGAGCCAAAGAGAAAAGACCAGGGAAACTGAGGACCTGGGATGCATTCCTTTTAAGCTCCATGGTCACGTCATAGTTCAACGCAAATTGTATACCGTTGACTGAAGCGTTATCACAGGGCATGTCTCTGTGAGGTGTTTGTCAGGAAAATTTGTTAGTTTGTCTCTTTCTCTGTTACCTGTTGTGGGCGTGGCCATTGTGGAGAGAACCTTCCGTGGGTCTTCCTTTCCCTGGGAAGGGAGTGATGATGTGGGGGATGGTACTTGGCCCATCACCCACCAAGGAGAGAGTGGACAGGTCTGTACCCGAGATCAGTTCTGTCCACGTTGCTCTGTCCACTGAGACTCACCCTCACCTTCCATCTGGGCTCCCATCGACTTGGGCCCTGATGCTGTGTGGCCGGCCGTCTGCCACTTGGATCTGCAGTTCCTCACCGGCTCCACCCACCTCCATGGGGACCACGGCTTGGCTTTAAGAGGCGGCTCTTTCTAGAGGCCCTGTGAGTCCAGGGTCCTATGGCCACTTTCCAGAAGAGCTTTGAATACAGATCCAGGCCTGGGAAGTCCTTATCTTTCACTTTTGAACACTTGTAACTGATGTCTAAATGTTTCCAACTACTTTGTTTACTCCCTGTTCCTTGTCAGCCCAGGAAGCAGGGTGTTGGAGGTGATAAAGTTGGAGAAGGCCTCCCACCAGTGGTCTCTGAAATGAAAGGCCGTGCTGTGCTGTGCGGTGGGCGTGTGGGCTGGGGTCTCGCCGAGGCCTGGGGCCCACGCTGCTGCACAGCCACACCTAGCTCCCTGTGGGGCCAGAGGACGCGCCAGGCAGAGGTGTGCAAACCTGGAAGCTGGGAGGAATCCTGAATCTTTTCATTTGCGATTTTAAGCAAAGAGAACATGAGAACTGAGATTGGAAAAAGAAGAAAAAGTCAAATCGTTACTGTTTTTCAAAGAACCACTTTAGATTTCCATTGTGAATACCCAGGACCAGTAAGTCAATTACATAGTGACTTAGAGAACACTTAAGGAGAAAAGGGGTGACCCTGTCTTGCCTTTGTGCCCACTTGTGGCCGCTGGGCCTGCTGCTGCCTGCATGCTCTGGGCACCCTCACCAGGACTCCTGCAGGACAGAGCTTCGGCCCAGAGCACACGGGAACCGAGGCACGTCCAGGTGTGGTACCAGAGCCAGAGTCCCCAGGCCGCCTGGGGAGCTGGCGGGAAGCCCTGGTCCTGGTCACCCCCCACTGCCCCGGGAGCCCTCGTCAGGGTCGCCCCGCACTGGCTCCATTGCAGGTGTCCCCTGGCCCTGGGGTATATCTGCACTCGGGGCTTGTGAAGTGTTGTCATTAGATCTGTTCCAGGCACACGGGTTTGCTGTAGAGACAAGAATGTGCTCTTGTCAACCCAAGTATCAACTGTGTGCTCCTTGCTCTCTGTGCGGCCTTTTTCTGTCCTGTAGGTAGTGTCTGAGTGTAACAAATACAGACTTTGAATTCTTTTAGGCCTAATATTGGTTAGGGATGGGCGGGTGGGTGGGAGCTGTCGGGAGAGGAAGTAGTGTAATCAGACTAAATGCGTACCGTACCGTCGGCCTGTAGGACCCCCTTGCATGTGAGCCACTTCAGTACCTTCTACAGCTTTAGATAAAAAGAAATCCGTGTTCCCTGTGCTCCTTACTGCCTTAGACACACCAGCTCTTCCCATCTTGCTCACACCGTGTTGCATGTTGTTCTCAAGAAGCTGGTAAACGTGTCCATTACCGCTGGAGCGGCCCGCCGTGTCCCGTTACCCCTGGAGCGGCCCGCCGTGTCCCGTTACCCCTGGAGCGGCCCGCCGTGTCCACTACCTGTGGAGTGGCCCGCTGTCCTGTTCTTGGTTGTTTGGGTCGCTGTCCCAATGCTGAGGACACCTTCCCCAGCCTCAGGACAGCTGGGGCCTCAGGGGAAAGGGCCCCAGGTCTGCAGCACCACGTCCTGTGCGAGGGATCCTTCTGTCCTCTGGACTCACTTCCCTCACTTGCCTCATGGCGGTAACAGCCCGGACTTGTGTGCCAGTTAAAGTGGGTTTACTGCAAAATTGCGCCAACATAAGCACAGCCAGCTTTTGTTCCCCGAGACACCGGAGCCTGGACTTGAGTCTTTAGTCAACGTTGGGAAGTGAGGGCAGTAATTACTTATAGAAACAGCCCGTGAGGAAAGTCTGCTCTCCGAGTTCATAATCACCAGTGGTTTCAGCCATATGGACGTGGTTTTGTTCAGATGAATCTGCAAAGTCGTTAACATTAAGTCTTGCGATCATTATTCTAATAACATGCACGAAAAGAAATACTGACCTCGTGGCTTTTGGAAGCAGGAGCTAACTGCACGGTTCCCTGCAGACTCACTGTGAGCCAGGCATCTGTCCCTTCCGTGTATTGGCAGGTGGCTTCAGACTTGTCGCCTGTGTCTGGGCTGAGGGAAGCCCCACCCCTGGCTTCCTTGAGGCCTCCGAGGGCGTCACTGTAGCACGTAGCCCAGCACCCCACCTTGTTTGACTACCAAGTGCAGTTTTTACCAAATGCAGATGGAGGCCAGGGGGAGGCCTAGGAAGGCACTTGGCCAAAACCTGCTGACCAGGGGCCACGTCCCACCTGCTTGAGGGTGCGTCAGGTGGCTGGGAGGGGCAGTGGAGGTGGGGTCGATCTGCTGACGACCCGAGCACCCTCACCAGACGTGAGGTGGAACGAGCTGCCAGCCCCTGGAAGGCTTTCGTGCATCCTTGGGTCCCCGAGAGGCTGGAACTCTTGTGTGCGCTCACGTTGTGTTCCTCTGGTGTCTTACCAACGCACCTGATGCTCTGGGTCCCTCCTCAGTGAAGTGAGCCAGCACAAACCTGATGAATGTTTGGTCATGGGCCCCGTGGCACAAGGTGTCAGAGTATTATTTTGAAATCATGTGCTGATGCACTCAGTTCACCTCTTCAGCCACGTTTGTTCTGTTTGCCCTTAATTTTCTTAAAGTAGAGCCACTGACTTTCCAGCCATCATTGGCATATACTCATAAGAAATTTGGATTAGAGAAATATGTAGATTTCTACTTTAGCTTCAAGTGAATGCATTGCAGTAATGGAATGAATTGTAAATACTTTTATTAGATATTGATTAATAGTTCTTCAACTAATAAACGTTATAGAAGGAGACCCTGAGAAAAGAAGGTAGGACATTATTTCAGACAAGGACGTCTGTTCTCACACCACATGTACTCAACACAGCATGGGAAGTCCTGGCCAGATCAGTCGGGCAAGAGGAAGGAATAGAAGGCATCCAGATTGGCAAGGAAGAAGCGAAACTCACTGTTTGTAGATGACATGATATTACATAGAAGAAATCCTAAAGGCTCCACAAAAAAAATTGTTGGAACTGATAAATTCAGTAAGGATGTAGGATACATAGTCAGTATACAGAAATAAGTTTCGTTTCTATACATTGACGACAAACTGTTAGAAGTAGGGAAACAGTCCCATGTACACCTGCATCAAACAGAATAAAATATCTGGGAATAAACTTAACCAAGGAAGTGAAAGACCTGATAAAACACTGATCAAAGAAACTAAAGACAAATGGAGAGACCTCCACGCTCATGGGCTGGAAGAGTAATATTGTTAAAGTGTCCGTACTGCCCAAAGCACTCCACAGAGTCAGTGTCAACCCTATCAAATTACCAATGGCATTTTTCAAAGAAATAGGACAAACGATCCTAAAATCCATATGCAACACAAAATACCCTGAAGAGGCAAAGCAATGCTGAGAAAGAAGAACAAAGCTGGAAGCAACACAATCGCAAGTTTCAAGTTCTATTACAAAGCTGTGATAGTCGAGTCAGTGTGGTACTGCCACAAAACAGACACGTAGATCAGTGGAACGGAACAAAGAGCCCAGAAATCAACCAGCTATATGGTCAGTGAATCTGCAACAAGACAGGCAAGAATACACAAATGGGGAAAA